CAGTTAATTTGTTTCATCACATGAAGCAATGTGATGGAATGTTAATGTCAGCACCCTCTTTATTTACACACTGTGGAAAAAAGGAGTAGTAATTAACACTTTGACACTCCCCCGTTGATGTGTAATTGACTGTTTCAAAGGAGCACTGGTTCATAAGCTATTGCATGCATTAAAATTACGGTTTTTTATATTCCAGCTTTTTAGGACAGGGGTCAGTGACAATGCAGAAGTTGTTCAATGATGCAGATTTTTTTATTACTGCATTAAGGTTTTGACATATTGGTAATGAATAAATGTTTCCATAAAAACCAGATTTTTTTTTTTTTTTTTTTTACAACTTTGATTTTGAAATGACACTTCAACGCTGGCTGAATGCATTTGAGGAAAGGCATAGTTTTGCTAAAACAGAGTTAAGTGGAGCCTTTTAACATATGCATTATTTTGTTTAATGGGGTGTAGTATAATTCTGAGAATAATTACCCTCAATGCTTTAAAATGCTGGTACTTTGGGTATTAAATAATGGAAATATCAATGTGATTTTTCTGTGGATAAAATTAGCAGCAAGTTTTTGGTAGTTTGTAAAGGTGTATATAGGGTAGGCATATCTTTTGCTGTGTGTATTCAAACGTTAGTTGTGCAGACATCTCGTGCTTTTCTTTCTTAGGGGTAAGTGGGGTTTCTATTGTAATTATTTTTATATATTGAAATGGCTTATCTGTTAGTTATTTGTCCACAGAATAATTTGCTGAAAACGCTGTTATGCTAACATTTGAATAAATTTATGGAAGATTAATTACCCATATATGTAGTATTAATTGTATAACATACAATAGTCGTGACTTCTTTTGCTTTGCCCCCTATATCTGTGTTTACCTCTGTGAATGCACAGTGTGTGCATTTTCAATACATCTAGGATTCACCTAATCCTAGTAAAATCCTTAAATATCTGTGTAACTGTTTTGAAAGGCAGCTTTACTTCCAGTTAGCTTGATTGTTCACCTGCTTTATGGTGTACTCAGAAGATTCTGAATGCCTTCGAGCAGTGGACAAAGTAGAGATTCTGAGGTCGTGCAGACCAGAGTGCTGGGAACTTGGTCTGAGTGTTTCAGCCAGGCCTTTGAAAAACAAGGGCAGTTTGGTATAGGAAACAGTACAATTATTAGATGGGGCATTAAAAAATTCTTCAGAACACCTATGATCTGAATCAGAAATAAACAGATTTTTAACCGTGCTTTAAATATTATTTTCTTATAATAACTTGCCAAGACGTTTGACTTCAAAATAAAGGACATTAGTAATAGGATTTCGGTGGCAGTCCAGCATCAGCTTTAGTTCTGCCCGTTCTTGGGTCAGGACCAACTAGAACTCGGCCCGAGAGCCGTGCAGTGAGGGCTCCTACAGGTGGCATCAGTTTGTTACAATTAGTTGGTTTATTAATGCTGACAACTTAGGCCAGCAGTAGCATTATCTGTGTCAACTGCATCGCCCTAACATGTCCACATTTAGTCTGGTATTACCAGCAGTCTTTTTCGGAAACTTAATCAGCATCTCATTTGCATTTGTTAATTAGGGTTAATGTGTGCTAATTGATTTTTTGATGCTTGTAGAGTTCCATTAAACCCAGTTAGGTATAGTTGCTGGTGCTCCTCATCCGTATGAATTATGGTGATCACATTTTTTTGAATCTGTGCCAAATAGTGAACCTGCATCATAATTATAGGTAATTAACACAACATGATGTCCTGCACTAATGTGCTTTCCTATTAGTGTGTGGATGTTATAAATTCCAAACTTAAATATTTACTGAAGCAATGTGAACGTTTATAATGTCATTCCAAAACAAAATGATTGACATTCATTTTAAATAAACTTCCACCGAATCTTAGTTGGTGCCTCACAGAACTCGGATTAAGAAATGCCTTTGTTCATCTGAATGTCTTAACTCTGTTGACCTAGACCTTTTTTTGGGAAAACTGTCTCTGATTTAAATGTGGAAGCCCTTGGCTCGGTTCCTCGTGTTGCCATCCATACAATCCTGTAAAAGATCTAACCTAATTTTTAATATCTGGTCCTCTGTTCTTGAAGAGACCTTTTTTGCCATACTAGAGGCTGTAAGCATACGTGTGACTCATGATGCTTTTTTGCTGTGGCATAAACTGTTAATTTGGTGCCAAAGCCCGTCCTTCTGGCACAAAAATGTTTTGTTGCTGAACGATTACTGAGAGAGGTTTATTTCCAAGCAGCCACGTGAGAACGAGCGGTGAGGCTGTACGAAAGTTTTGACATTACCAGTCATATATTTTCCATTTGTTGTTGCATCACTGTTCTTCCAGATGATGCAACTGAAAAATTCACTTGCACCCTCTTTCCACCTAAAATTCTGTTACGGTGATGTTTTTACTGTTTCAAAAAAACTGTGCTTCACTTTTGTAGGTATTTATTGCCTCTTACTGACAACGACTGAGTCTTGAGGGATTCACAACTAAACTAGCTATTTTAGTGAAATACAAGGAAGATGCGGGAATTAATGTTTTTACTCAAAAAAAAATGTTGATAAGGACAGGTGGAATATTTTCTTGATGTGAAAAAAATTTTTAATTATTGGAAGCATATGTAGTAAAAAAACCATGAAAAACAAATTAATGAATTACTGAATTATAATTCATATCCATAAACTATCAACACTTTTACACAGGCTTGTTGCACGAACACAATATGGCCAAAATGAGGCTACTTACTTTCATGGGAATGGCTGTAGAGAGTAAAGAAATATCCTTTGACACAATGCAACAGGAACTTCAGATTGGAGCTGATGATGTAGAAGCATTTGTTATTGATGGTAAGAACTGTGGTACTGCACTTCACGCCGTGCTAACGAGCGATACCATTTATAGTCCTCTAAGCTGATGTGAAGTAGTCAGAAAAATATTCATTTTGAATTTTTGTGTTTGTTACAAGATGTAGCTGCAAAACTACATGCTTCAAGACAAGGCTAACTGTTGTCTTTTAAATGGGGTTGTGGGTTTGGGTTGGTTTTGTTTTTTTTTTTTCAGCGACAGGAGCTGTATTTTATGTAATTCTTTGCAGAACTAATAAATTGTTTGCAGGTTTAATTTGTCATCTGGTTTTGTTTGCTGTCATTAAAACAGGATGTGTTTGTAGGGGAGAGAAGTTCATAAAAACTGTACAGGATATTGCTTTAATGGATTGGCATCAAACAATAGGATTCATGCATGACCTTCATCTTCTTACATCAGTTTGCTTTTCTGCCTACTAGACTGCTAAAAGCAATGGCAAAACAATATTAAGTGAACTGCTGTGTTGTTATGCTTGTATTGATCTAATTTTGAACAGTTTTCATGCAGTTTAATACCTTTACGGTATGTTGAAAATATTGCTCAGAACAGCATTGCTTTTTTTCAGCTGTGAAGACAAAGATGGTGTACTGCAAAATAGATCAGACACAGAGGAAAGTAGTTGTCAGGTAGGACTTAATTCTTCATAGCATTTTGCAGAAGTTAGTGTGTTCTAATTATTTCACTTACATTTGTAGAATATTTTAACTAGAAGCAAGGTATTGTTCCTATCAGTTGCTCGTAGTTAAATAGTTGCTATTTATCATAATTTTATTAAAGCTCACACTGAATGTGATTAGCTTATTTAATGAAAGAGTCCTATTTTCCAGCACATTTCATTTAATGACCTAATAGTGACAAGAATACTAATGACTGTTGTTGCTTTAAATATTTGGGAAGGCTGCAGAATTCTCTAACTAGTAAGTGCAGCCCTTTCTATAGAGAAAATAAAAATTTTCCTATTCACTTGTGAGTGTAAAGTAATGCTATAAAAGAATTCTTAGGTGAGCATGACATCTAGTAATTGTCTTCCAATTTTGTTTTACTTCTCTAGTCACAGCACACATCGGACTTTTGGAAAGCAGCAATGGCAGCAATTGTATGACACTCTAAACACCTGGAAACAAAATTTGAATCAAGTGAAAAACAGTCTCCTCAGTCTCTCAGACACCTGAAACATTTTTTTTGACCTAGATTTGTCACTAGAAATGAAATTTATTGAAAACGTTGACAATTTGTGAATGTTTCCAAAAATGTATGCAATTGGTTTAAGAAAGCTAAATATTCTAAATTGAAACACAAAAAAAAGCAATAAACTTTACATGGGAAAATATCTTCTGTTGATTTTCTTACATAATTAGCAACAACCAACCGTGGCAGTCCTGGTTATGCTTCTTTTGTTCTTTAAGTTTACGATATGAGGATCTTCCTTTGCAAGAGGGGAGGAAGGGAGGGAGATCAGAAAAGTGATAGTGCAAGTAAGTGTGTACAGTAAGAGAAAATTTCCGTTACACCCTAAGGGAGGAAAAATGTGAACCAGTAAGAAGTGAAGCTTTATGAAGCAGGATCTGCTGCCTTATCTCTGTAAATCATACCTGATGCTTTAGTGTTGAAAGAGACCTTATGGATACAGAATCAACTACAACAGATACATTTAAACAATTTGGCAGCAAAGGTAAGCAGAAGATTTTCGTGATCTTCTGCCACTTAGAACTGCTGTAAGTTGTTGTAAATGTTTGCAGAAACCATTGTGTTTCAAACAGCTGATTTTGCTTGAAAACCGAGTGAGCAGTCTGACAGAAACCAAATTGAAGTATATCAGCCCAAACTTCTGAAGAGCAGAAGGGTACTTTTAAGTAATAGCTTAAATTTATTTAATGGATATTAAAACATTAACTTGTGAACTTTTTAACTTCAGGTAAAACCCATAATAACTTGGGTTTGATCGCAGAAACAGAGAACCAGCATTATTAGTAGGAATTGTGTCCATGTTTGAACATAAAAAAAGGTCTGTATGCTGTATGGAACATGAAAGCATGGTTCATATACACCATATTCTAAAGGAATACCTCTACAAATCTGGGTTACCTAAGTGATTTACCTGTGCCTAAAAGACCTGCTCTTTATCTCCTGCCACTGATTTTTCACTGGCCTTCTTCATATTTTCTTTTTCTTGCTGAATGAAGTCTCTCCAAATCCAGAAATTTCTCAATTTCTTCTATTTGGTTTTGTATAGTGGAGCTGGGACTAGAACAGCTGTCCTTATCTCTGAGCATGCTTTCGCTTCTTGCTGGAGTTACAGTCACTTGAGAAGAATTCTGCTCATGCTGTAAAAATCCTTCTTTCACCTGACAGAATACAAACTTAGGAGTTAACTATCCAGTGAAGTTCAGGTAAAAGGTTCAAATTGTTGGATTTTGAGCATTAAGCAGGGAAAGAAATGCGAACAGAAAGATAAGGTAATTGGAAAAAATTATGTTTCATTTGAAGTGCTTGCTTCAGCTTTAATTTAGAAAACTTGATAATGACAAATACACTTTTATAAACCAAACCTTATTGTAAGACTTAGTACAGGAGAGTGTGATTTTTTTTTTTTTAAAAAAAAAAAAGACAACCTTGTACTAGAATGCAGTTAGCAAAATAAATAGGTTAATTAAACAGTTTAATGTTGCAATTGACATTTCTATTGCTGTGCAAGCATTTGATTAACAAAACCCAAAATCATGAGGTTTCTGGTGTTAACTCCCTCTCTGCTTCACTGTATAGATGAGAAAGCAAACATCATTAACTAATGTGAGGTCTGTAATAGGTTGGGTTTTTTATGTTAAAGATCTTTCTGTTCTCAGAACAGTTTTAATTACTATTTGATAGATAATTCCAAATCAAACACATAGGGAAGCAGGCTTTTTTGCTTGAATGACAAGTTCTCCACTCGGGCTCTCGGGGAGGCCAGCGTGCAGCACCAGCCACCGGCCCGAGCCCAGGGGCACAACAGAGCCGTGCTGCACAGCGCCAGCGTTGCAGTGGTTCTTGGGGATCTGTAACGGGTCAGCTCAGACTTTGGGTTTGTGCTAGAGTAAATCTCTTACAAGGATTACAAGATGAGGCCTTCCCCCTCTGCTCAGTTATTTTTTTAATATTAGGCAACTGTGCTGCAACAAACTAAGCCACAAAATCCTTATCGGGCCTGCCTTTATTTTAGCACATGTGCTAAAACTTTCCTTCCCCAGTGCACAAGCGTTTCTTGAAGTTTGAAATGTGAACAATAAACTTTATGCAAATTGTTGACTTAGCCTGTTGCATCTGTAACAACATTACTGCCATGCAGCTGAAGATACTGATACTTCAGGTCAATATTGACTGTAATCTCCATTTCAGTGAGGAAATAGCTTCTTCATTTGAACCTTCATTTCAGTTTTCAACCTGTTAGTTCTAGTGGCCATATACATACACTCTCCTGAGCTCTTTCCCAAGGCCTCAGAAAGAAACAGATCATACTTCATTGCAAGCCACTACTCAAAATCTGAGGAGTAGCATGTGGGGCTGCACCTGTCCTGTACTAATAATCCAAAAAAACCCCTTTCATTTAGGTCTTCCACGTGTGGAAGGGAAAAGCCATGCCATGTTACTTAGATTTTACTGAAGACAGCAAGTGTTTAGACCTCTCTGGAGAAGTAATTGCGGTTAGGGAATACAGAATAGCATTTTAATACAGTTCTGTGACAGGGGGTTAGAATAAAGCTTTAAAAAAAAATCTCAGCCGACAAACTAAAGGGCCTCAGCATTTTCACAGCACTGAGTAATGTGGCATCCTATGGGACACACGTGTAACAAACTGGTCGCTGAATAGTATGACTACAGAGTTAGGGACTTGTGTTTAACTGAGCTGAGGATGCTGAGTCATCCTTGCCTTACTCAGACATGTACAGACTGATGTTTAAAAGAGTTCTTCATATTTTTACTAGAATTTCAAGTGCACCTGTAGCATTTCTTTTATCACTTTTTAGAGTACCGTACTTTGGTTGAATGAGATTACCCAAATTGTAGAAAGCTTAAGTTTGCTCTAGTTCTACATGTTAGTCAAAA